TTTGTGTATGTTGAACCATCTTTGCATCCCTGCAATGAAGGCTATTTGGTTATGATGATTTGGCTCAATGATTTGTTGCATTCTGTTTGCTAGAATCCAGAGGATACTGAGGATTTTCACAACTATGTTCGTTACAGAGATTGGTCTGTAATTTTTTTCTTTTATTTTTGTTGAGTCTTTTTCTGGTTTTGGAATCAAGGTGATAGTAACTGTCAGAAATGACCTTGGGAGTACTCCTTCCCTTTTGATGTCATTAAAGAGTTCGAAAAGTATTTGTGTTAGGTCTTCACTGAAGTTCTTGCAGAATTTAATGGTGAATTCATCAGATCCTGGGCTTTTCTTATATGTAGGTTTTAAAATTAGAGCTTCAATTTTATTGCCTGTTACTGGATTATTCAGGGTTTGAATATATTCTTGGTTCAGTTTTGGAAATTCATATGTATCCTGGAATCTATCCATTTTTTTCTGAATTTGATAATTATGATAATACAGGTTTTCAAAGTAATACTAATGATATTCTGGATTTCAGTGGTGTCCACTGTGACTTCTCCTTTTTCATTTCTAATTGCATTGATTTTTTAGAAGTATGATTTCTCCGCATTGTGCTGTTTTTCAAGATCTCTGTAATTTCTAGTTTACCTGTCGGCTCCCTCCAAAGTCCCAAAGACACACTTTTTTTACCTTCACCAATTTGATTTTTTCAAGTTTCTCCATTCTAGGTCCCAGAGAGGCTGTATTTTATTGCAGATGCTACTTCACCAGTTTTTCTCTTTGTTTTCATACCTTCTTGGAGTATATGCATGGGTGGGTACTCATTAATCTTCAAGTGTAAGTAAACTGTCCATTTTTTCCAGATTCTCCAATTTGTTGGAATATAAACTTTGAAAATAATTTGTAATGACCCTCTGTATTTCAGTGATGTCTGTTTTATTTTTATGTTTTTCATTTCTGATTTTATTAATTTGGATCTTTTACTTTTGGGTGAGAAGTTATCAATCTTGCTTATTTTTTCAAAAAACCAACTCTGAATTGTTGGTCCTTTGTACTGTTTTTCTTTAGTTTTAATTGTATTAATTTTTTCTCTGATCTTTATTATATTTTTCCTTCTACTGGTTGTTCCTATTTTTCTAGGGCCTTGAGATTCATCATTAGGTTGTTTATTTAGATCTGTTCTATTTCTCTAATGGAGGCACTCATAGCTGTAATTGTCCATCTTAGAATTGTCTTCATTGTGTCCCACAGATTCTAATATGTACTATTGCTAGTGTAGTTTGATTCTGGGAATTTTTAAATTTTTCCTTCATTTCTTCAGTGATCTATTGATCATTTAAGGGTATGTTATTCAGCTAGGTGTGATGGTGCATGCCTGTAATTCCCCAGCACTTAGGAAGTTGAGACAGGAAGATTGCTGTGAGTTCCAGGCCAGCCTGTGCTACATGATGAGCTCAAGGCCAGACAGAACTGCATGGCAAAGTCCTAGCTCAACCCCTACCCCTCCTCCACATATATTATTCAGTCTTCATATGTTTGTGTGGTTTCTTTTGTTGTTGATTTCCAGTTTTATTCCATTGTGGAATGATAGGAGGTATGAGGTTATTTCAATTTTTTTTATTTACTGAGACTTGCTTTATGGTTTAAAATGTGGTCTGTTTGGGGTAAGGTTTCATGGTATGCTAAAAAGGAAGTATATTCTGCTGAGATTGGATAAAACACTGTAGATACTGATCAAGTCCATTTGACATATAGTTATTTAATTCTGATATTTCTTTGTTAATTTTTTGTCTCATTGACAATTTATGATAGGGGGTACTGAATTCCCCCACTGTGATTTTCATGGGGTGTATCTGTCATTTCATGTCAAGTAGCATTTATTTTGTGAAGTTGGATGCATCACTGGTGCATGTATACTTACAATTATTGTCTCTTCATGAATTCGTCCATTTTCTAATATCTAGTGGCCTCCTTTGGCTCTTCTGCCCAGTTTCGTTTTGAACTCTACCTTGTCAGATAAAGGTTCGGCTTGAAGCTGCTTGGTGTATCTTTTCGGATCTTTTCATTTTCAGTCTGTGTATGTCTTTGAAGATGAGGTGTAGTTTTTGCAGACAAAATGTAGATGAGTCGTGTATTTTGACCCATTCTACCTATCCATATCTTTTAACTGGAAAGTTGAAACTATTTACATTGTATTACTGCAAAGTGTTTATTCATCGTCACTATGTTGTTTCTTTGGTATTTGATTCTTTTTCGTTGTTTATTCTTTTATCTTCTCTTCTGATGAGCTTTACTCTTTCCCCTTATCTCATGGTTGTTGTCTTCTTGGTCTCTGTTTAGGCTTCTCTGAAGTATTTTTCGCAATGCTGAGTTGGTGGTCATGAATTTCTCTGGTTTACACTTAACGCGGGAGGTCTTTATTTCTCTTCAATTTTGAAGGATATCTTTAGGCTACCTTAATATGAGTTGGCAATTATTTTCTTTCAAGGCTCAAAAATCTTCATTCCAATCCCTCTTGACCTTTAAGGTTTCCACTGAGAAATCTGCTGTTATTCGGATGAATTTGGCCTTTTTAAGTTATTTGGTGCGTTTTCTGCCTGAGCCTCTCATTACCACCATTCTCCCCTCAGATTCTATGAGATTAATTTTTTAGATCTCCCCATATAATTGAGATCATGCAATATTTGTTTTTTGAGACTGGCCTACTTAATATAATGTCTTCTAGCTCCACCCACGTGCTTGCAAATTACAGGATTTCTTTCTTTTTTTGGGGCAGAAAAATATTTTATTGTGTATCTATACACCACATTTCTTTATTTATCAACAGATGGGCACTTAGGCTGTCTCCATTTCTTGGCTATTATAAATTGTACTGAAATAAATATGGGAGTGCAGATGTCGCTTTGATATACTGATTTCATTTCCTTTGGGTATGTGCCCAGTAGTGGGATTGCTGCAACATGTGGTAGTGATGTTTTTAACTTTTTGAGGAACCTGTACACTGACTGTACTAAGTTACCTTCTCCCTACAGGTGTCACCGTTCTCTTTTCTCCACATCCTGGCCAGCACTGTTTTCTCGCTGAGGTTTTGAGGAACCTCCATAATATTGTACTGATTCCCCATTGAGAAAACAAGTGCTGGCAAGAATGGGGAGAAAAGAGGTGAATTCCTACCATCTTGCCTAGTGAAACTCTGTATTATCTCTAATGTTTTATCTAATAATTACTTTTTATTCTCCTTAATGGTTTGAGCAATCTTCCATTCTTACATCTGGTAATCTGAACAACGTAGTTGAAGATAACACTATGTAATATAACAACCACTGTTAATTCCTATCATTTTATTTTGAAACCCTGTATCACTTTTAATGTGCTTGCTTTGTTTTGTTTGTTTGTAATGTTGGTATGCTATATTGTTCTCTTTTTTTTTCTTTTACTACTCTCTTTAAAATAAAGAAGAATTGTACTAATTTTCATTCCCTTCAACAGTATGTAAGAATGCCTTCCTAGCAACTGACTTTTTTTATCCAACAAATCTTTGCCCATTTTAATGTCTCAAAGCATTTTTATTGTTTTCTTTACATGGTTTCATAGTTCTGAACCTTAAACTCAGTTCTAACCCATTTTGAGCTGATTTCTGTATTTGTTGGGTATCCACCTTCACCCTTCTGCATAAAGATATCCACTTTTCCTGGCACCAATTAATGAAGAGACTGTCCTTTTCCCAATAAGTGTTCTTAAACCTTTGTTGAAAATCATTAATGTTTTCTTGATTTTGACCTCAGGCAAGTCACTTAATCTATCAGAAAATACAGACATGTACATATACAGTTAAGTCTAGATAATAACCTATAAAAGTACATCTAGAAAGGAATATATTAAACCATGTAGCACCAGGTACATGAGCTATGGGTACTAAGTTATAATGAGATCAGAATGAAATATGATAACCTGGGGAAACTTGAAAAGAACAGATGGACCTTGAACTAGTAGCGAGATTGAGGATAAGGTAGGGGAAAGATTTGGTTATTCTAGATGAGATGACTGGCATGCTCAGAGATAGAGATGAAAATGAACCTGATGTCTGTGGGAAAATAGTTAACTAGGAAGATTAAGTCTTATGTATAGCTAATAGAACAGTAGTTAATTGTGTTAACAGAATCACACAATTGATGTGGTAATGTGCAAATTATTAATAATAAATACACTGGTGCCTCAATTCACAAACTCACCTCTCTCCACCACTCTGGTCACAAACCAGACTGAGCACTCACCAAGTCAGACTGTATGTGCACTATGACGCTGCAAATTGCAGTATGGCTGAGTCTAAGTTTTCTCGAGATTTAGAATAGAATTACTGCCCTACAGGGATATCTTCTTTCTAGGAGTCTGTTTATAGGCAGAAAATTTTTACCTGAATACAAAGGCAGTGTGAACACATTGTGAACCTAGGAAGTTCATCAGCTTGAGATTACACATCCAAATAATAAAAGTACCTAATGCAGATTGATCATGTTTTCATATGATCTATGTTTTTATAAGGTCTATATGAGATTTCCCTGGAGAGAATAGATAACTTCTGGGAAGTACTATGAAGGAAGTAACTCCCTCTATAAAAGTTCTCTAAGATCTTTCACAGAATTAGAAGTTTCGGTAATTATGACATTCTTTTGACCAAGGGATTATCTCTATTAGACCTCTATTAAAACATTTGTTCTTAAATAGAGTAGACAAGTATGTAAGAATAAAAATCTCTCTTATGTTAACATTAGCTTTTAATTATTAACTAATATTTAATTCCTTCTGTGAGTATACCTTATAATTGATCTTCTCTTTTATATGTATAAATGAGAGTTAAATACATAGGTACATCAGGAGAGTACTTAATGCAAATTGCCCTGTACTATATCATTTTTAAATAAACATTTCAGGTATCTATACTGATTTAAATTATAGTTCATTATGTAGAATTTGATTATTTCTAAACTGAAAGTATTTTCTCTTGGCAGAGGTTAATGAACTTGCAAAAGCCTTAGACCAAGTCACCAACGAAAAAATTGATGTTGATGCTGGTGAACATATACTGAAAGGCTTGGGGATTCATTTTCCAGAGGAAGAATTACAGGAGATGATCTCATCCATTTCTGTAGATAGTAGGTATCGTCTTTTCTGCGTCACTTATTACCCCTAAAGCTGTGTTCACCTTCACTCATAAGTCCGCAGAGTTACATGACTAGGAATCAAATGTAGTAGTTCAGCAGCACTGGATGACCCCTTTTATGGTCATTTGTGAATTTGCTCTGGATGATCCTCTCATTGAATATCCTAGGTAAGTATAATCTTCCTCTCTTTTTCTATTTCTTTGTCTCCTGAGGGTTGAATTACAGGTTCTTATTGGTCTGAAGCTGTCTCAAGTCCACAAAACAAAGGCCTAATCCTGTGTGGTTATGTGCACAATCAGTGTGATTTTCTCAGAATCATCAAGGAGCTATACTGGTGTTTTTGGAATCCTGCCAGTGAAATACTTATTTTTCACCTGAAGCCTTGTGTTTTCTTCCTAAATCCTACATATATGATGAATAGAAAACAAAGGACTTATACTTTTTGTCAATATGTATTTGCTTATAAATATAAGATTCTTTATATATAATTGTTGAGTTTGGTTGATGATACTTATCTTTTTTTACATTTTTATTTTAAAGAGAAAATATAAAACAGAATTTCATAACAAGAAAATAGGAGAGTAACAATGTTTAGTACAGTGCATGTTGTTTTTTATTTTAAAGAGAAAAAACAATAAAAACAATGATACAGAGATTCAAAACAAGATAATGGGAGATTCACAATGATTAATATATTGCATATTGTTATCTTCAAAGTAGTTGCTCAGATTAGGAGATATAGGCGTGCAAAATTGATCAAACAATACAACCACAAACCTTTCTTTTTAATGAACTAATAGAAATTGGTAGTACATTTATCTTAGATATCATACATATATATGTTTTATTTTTCTTTTCCCTTCCTTTTTTCTCCTTCCCCACATCCCAGTTGTTCTTTCCTTTTGAGCAGTTTCTTCTCCTTTTGCAATATCTATTGTAATTTTTTATCTCATTTACTCTTAATTGCTCACACTAGGGAGACAATACAGTGTTCACACATGGAAGTCTGATTTATTTCACTTATGAGTATAGTTTCATCCATTTACCTATAAAAGCCTCACATTTGTCCTGCTTTACAGCTCAGTAATACTCTATTGTATAAAAATACCACATCTTTTTTATCCATTCCTTGGTTGATGGGCATTTGGGGTGTTTCCAGGATTCAACTATTACAAATTGTGCTGCTGCAATCATGGGTGCACATGTATCACTGTGGTATGATGTCTTTAATTCTTCTGAAGAAATACTCAGAAGGGGATTAGCTGGGTGGAATGGGACCTCCAATCATAATTTTTTGAGGAATTTCCAAACTGATTTCCACACTGTTTGCACCAGTCTACACTCACATGAACAGTCCAGAAGTGTTCCTTTTCCCTCACAGCCCCACCAACATTTGTTATTGGTTGATTTTTTGATGATAGCCATTCTTTCTGGGGTGAGATAGAATATCGGTGTTGTTTTAATTTGCATTTCTTGAATGACCAGTGATGTTGAACACTTTTTCAAATATTTATTTGTCATTTGTATTTCTTTATCTGAGAAGTATGTATTCATCTCAGATGCCCATTTTTGGACTGAGTCTTTGAATTTGGGGGGCCTGATTTTTTAATTCTTTATATGTTCTACATAGAAGTCCTTCGTCTGAGGGACAAAAGATACAGGAAGGGAAGAGATAGTGTTTACTCACATGAAAGTATGATAAATTCAAGAGATAGTTGAGGAAAGAGAAAAAGAGAATCAGTAGAAGAAAACAAAAAGAAATGTAAGAAATCTAAACAGTGAAAAAAAAAGGAAGACAGAGAAAAAGAAAGAAGGATAAAAAAGGGACCAGAAAAAAAGAAAAAAATGACAAATAAAAAAAATGAGTAAAAGAACCCCAAAACAGAAATAACCACAAAGCACAAAACAAGACAAAAAGCCATCCATACAAGAACAGGGTAGCCAATCAGACAAAGAAGGGAGAATAAAAGTAGTAAAATTGCTCTTGTGTTCACAGTTCTGCTGTAGTGTGGAAGATAGATCCCAGAAGTGTGCTGTGTACTCCAGCCAAGTTTGCCATGGGTTTGTGCTGGGTATGGAGCTGATCTTGCCTCTTGATATGGGGGCTGGTCTGGTCTTCCATTGGTAGAGTTCTCCAGGGTCCTTTGCTATAGTATGGTGGACCCACTCACTCCTATTCTGTGTGTCTGTGTGCTGAAACTCAACTTGGATTCACCTAACTTACCAACTGCTGGCTCCTCACTACTGCTTCAAACTTTTCCATGCTTCTGGTCTTGTCAGGACCTTCATGTATACCTGTGCCAGGGTCTGGTCTCACTAGACACACCCATGTGCCCTTGCTAGGGCCTGGCCTGGTTCTACTGATTGCACCGCCTGACACAAGCATGTGTGTGCCATGCCTGGTTCCACCTGGTCTGGTCTTGCTGATTGCTCTGCCTGCTGCCCAGAGTGTGAGCCTGTGCCCAGGTACACCCAGCCTGGTCCCCGATACTTATCTTCTGATGGATAAATTATCTTCCATGAAAATACAGGCAGTTACGGAGGACTCATAATGCTGAAAAATCAAAAGAATATATCCAACAGGAAGTACGCCAGAACCATGGTCCTGATTGGTCAAGGCATGGGTAGAATCCATGTAAAAAGCTCCTTAGCTCAGTAGCAAGAAAGACTACGAGTCACCGTGATCAGGCTGCTTCCCATAGTTATTCTGAGTTGTTGCATAGCAGAATCAGAGTTAGAAAAACTCAGGAATAACTTTGGTTTTGAGAGTTAAGTAAGCATGTATATCTTTTGTATCTTTTTGATAAAAGACCGTTCACTCCCCCTTTTTTTTTTTATCATTTTCAGAAGATGGGCAGGTAGATTTAAAGGATTATCTGAATGGATTGATGCAAACATCATATTTTACTAAAGGTTCAAGTAAGTGAGGATTTTTTAATGATAAAAATTTTGAGTGAAATTGTTTAGTTCTCATTATATGCATTTGTGTAGTTTTCTAATGCTATAAAATAAGTCATATATATATTTAACAGATGTACTTTGGGTGAAGAATCAAAAGAGCATCCTCATCAAACATTCTTTACTTTTGTTTTCTGGAATTATGGTATATTTCTCATCACTTAAAAAGTGCAAATACACAAAATTTGTCTATATGATACATCCCAGTGTCCAAGTTTGTGAGCTAAGAAGGTTGCCCATAAGTTCACAACTAGCCATTTTATTGCAATCCTGTAGGAATAAGATCATTGTTCCTTCCTCTTTCCCGCATTATCCTTCCTAGTATTTATGAGTATTAAAATGAGACTTTTATGAGAAGATTAAGTGATGAAACATAGTGTTCCTCAAAGTTTAGGCTTTTTGAGACTTGGACAGTAAATTCAGAGCTGTTTTGTGTTTCCTGGGTATGCTTGGAACAGTGTGGTTTTTTTTTTTTTTTTTGAGAAGTCAAATAGATTAATTTTCTGAATTTTTTCCAAAATTGAAACAGAAGTAAATTCAAAAGTCTCAACTTATTTAGCTGCAAAGTATAATTATTTTTCATAGCATAGTACTATATTTAACATGAGGTCATTGCAGTGTATATTTTTAATAGACAAAATATTTTATTTTTAATTTTTGGTTTTCCAAATAAGGCCTATAAGACTTTCATAGGTATATGGTTCATAAACTTAACCTCTTCAGAGTTAATGTTTTGATATGATAGTATTTATTGCAATATGACACCTAAATTGTTTTGTACTTGAAAGAATAACTTACAAATAGTAATTTCAAAAATAAAGATTGCCTTTTTGATTTTAATACATTAGTACTACCTTTCTATTATTTGGGAGACATTTTTACACATAAAAGTGAAAAAACTGATTATAGTTGCTTCAAATTATGACCAGTGATCCAACTTTTGGCAAGAGAATTACTTTTGGGGTTAGTTACCATATCTTTAAATAATTTCCCACTCTCAGGCATGGTAGAGAACAGTATAAGCAGATGTTCTGAGACTTTTTTCTGTAATAATTATTAAATCTCAAATTTACATATCTTTAGTGACTCAATTGTAACAGTTAAATATCCTGCCTATGAAATCATTACCTTGACCTTCAAACTTGGCTTCACATTTAATAACTGTGCATTGTCAGACAGACTAGCCTCCCAAGATTAGGTTTTCTTATGTGTTAAATAAAGGAGAAATTTACACTGAATTCACAGAGTTTTTGTGAAAGTAAATGGCATAGTTCATAGCAAGCTCAGACATGATAATTAATGAGTGGTAGAAACAGCTACTTTATTATTATAATTTTGAACTTTCTAAACATATTTGAACATTTTGAAAACTTGTTACAGCATGTATATTTTTTGCATATAGAAATAAAAGATGCCTTGAAAGTTCTGGCCTCCATTAGAAATAACGGAGCCAAGCCTGATGACTTAGCCTCCATGATAAAAAACACAGGTGTTCCATTACCCCAAGATACTATTCAAAGAGCACTGAAAGATGTGGCCCCCAGGGGTAAGTATTTAATATGTTTCTCTGAATCATTTACCTTTGCTAACAGTAATCTGTTTAAACGGTTTAAGGGTTCTTAAAAGGTTTATCAGTTCCATAACTATCCAAGGCTTTCTTCTGCCTGCTACCTAGTGGCATTCTAGTTATTGTCAGCTGTGTTCTAATTACTTTTAGTAGCAACATACAGAAGAGTTTTACAGGAGACGAGTGTGTGCCTGTGTCTGAATAATCTACATACATGTCTTTCTGACTAATACATGTCTCTATATTTCAAAACCCAGTTGTCTTAGCTAGTTTTTTTCATTGCTCAGACAAAATACCCAACACCCAAAGTTAAGGGAGAAAAAGGTTTATTTGGCTTATAGTTTATAGAGGTTTCAGTCAATAGTCGGCTAGTTCCAAGATGGGGTGGCATAGTAGACAAGCATCACAGAAGAGAAATAGTTCATGGTAGGCAGAAGGTAACAAAGCAAGCATGGGGCCTTAGCAGCCTTTTCCTACCCCTTTTGTATTCTATCTAGGCTACCAGGATTAGGGTAGTTCCAAACCAACCAGTGGACTGTTTTAGTAATCACACACCCTTAATTCCAGCATCACACACTGTAGTTCAGTCATCTCTGAAAAAGCCCCACCTATGACCACGTGAGGCTTTGGAGGGAAATCTAGACACAAACCATAACATTCCACCCCTGGCCCCTTAAAAACTCATGTATATCTCTTTATGCAAAAAATAGTTAGTCCAACTCCAAGAGTTGCCAAAGTCCTAACGGTTTCAGCATCACTGAAAAGTCCAAGTTCAAAGTCTCCTCTGAGATTTAAGGCAAACTTAGCTGTGAGCCTGTGTCAGTCAGGGTTTACTAGAGAAACAGATATAACACTAGATATACAAAAGTACAAGAAATTACAAGTTTGGTTTACAATGGTCAGCCACAGAGTTGGATGAGGAACTGTGCAGAAGGTATCTGCATGCTGGAGATTGAAGAGCCCAGCCCCAGGCCTAGGGCTCACTGCAGTGTCCATGCAAGTCCGTATCAGGAGGCTGATGGGTCTGTGGCAGAATGCTGGAGAATCTATGCCGAAGGCCAGAGAGCCTACACCAGAAGGCTGAAGAGTCCCAGGCGGAAGCTGAACAGTCTGCACCAGAAGCCAGGAGATGACCAAGCTGAAGGCAAAGACTGGAGCTCCTCCAAAGAACCAAGAGCAGCCAGTCCTTCCTCAATTCCCTTTTTTATGCAGCCTATCTGCCCTGGGGGGAGCGTGGAGGTGGTCCTCCACACCCACACCCCCTGCATGCCTTCCTCTTGCGTAGGCTCAGGATGAATACAAAGTAAACACCCTGGCTCCCTGCTGAGTCACTTAGCCAAACCTCTAGACTCCCCAAGTTGACACAATGTATCAACCATAACAGAGCCTCTGTTCAAATGGAAAAAGTTAACCATTTCCAACATAGATGGCATGAGGTAAACATTACTATTCCAAAAGTTACAAACAGGTGGATAGCAAGGAATGGGAACAAAGGAAGACCAAAATCCAGCAGGGCAAACATTAAATCCCACAGTTCCCCTTTCAACATCCCCAGAAATCTGTGGCTTGGATGACTCTGCCCCTATGCCACTACATGTGGTTGTAGCTCCCATGGCTTCTCTCTGGGGTCAGCTCTGCTCCCTCCTTGCAGTTTTTTTTTTTTCCCAGATGATCCACGTTCCTGGATTCTCCAAACATCTGGGATCTCTACAGCGTCTTCACCTCCACACTCACAGCATCACATGATGCCCTTTCAGGGCTACACTGCCTAGCCCTCCAGGCTTTCTTCTAAAATCTTGGTGGAAGTCTTCCTGACCCTCACCACTCTTGCATTCGGCATGCATCTAAAACCAGCACCATGTGGATGAAGCCAGAGTTTGCACCAGCTGAAGCAGTAACGGAGCTTCTTCTTTTCTTGGCTGTAGGGGGTCCAGTGCCTATGAACCAAATCCTGAGGAACAACTTCCCTAGGCTGCTGCCATTTTGGAACATGGTCCTGTGGGGTTCTTATTTTCAAAACAGTCTTTCACTTTTGCAATTTTTTTTTTCCCCCTCCGGTACCGGGAACTGAACTCACGACCTTGCGCTTGCCAGGCAAGCGCTTTTGCCGCTGAGCTAAATCCCCAGCCCCTACTTTTGCAATTTTGAGGCTGCAGATGGTGAAGTCCTGCAGGTTCTTGTGATGCCCTAAGGCCATCTTTATGATTCTTCTGTCCCTTCTCAGCAATCAGGTTCTCTTCTCTATTTTTGCAGTCCACAGTTTTACAGGGGCTTCCTTTCTAGCCAAATCCACAACATTTTAAATCATTCTGCTGCACCTTTTCCTCTTGATTCTGAACATAGATATGGCTAAAAACCACCAACATTAGCCATGCTACTGCCTCGACATAAGAGTGCTTTGAAATTTCTTCTGCAAGATTAATTAGTCTGTCACCCTTAGACTCAGTCTCAGGCTCAGACATGAGCAAAATGTAGACAAACTTTTTGCCAAGTCATAACACACATCGTCTGGGGTCCAACAACCAATGCATTCTTTCTTGCCAGTGTAAACCTCCCAAGCCTGGACTTTACCAGCAGCACTTCTAGCAGCATGCTGGTCTTCTGAGCTCTGACTAGAATCTCCCATCAAGTATAGACTCAACCATTCCAGGGCTGTTTTATCAAGTGGAGTCTCTGAACCTTTCCAAGCTTTTTCCACAGCTAGTTCCAAAGGTTCCAGAACCACATGGTCAGGTACAGTCACAACAGGGACCCCACTTCTCTGGTATAAAATTTTGTCTTATATTGTTTTCTCTCATTGCTGAGCCCATGCATAACCTCAATCCTTGCTACCATGGCCACCGTGTTCATGAACCCATTGGGCAATGACCAGGGTGGCTGAAGAAGGAGGTTGACCACTATCAGCAGAACAAGTCATGATATCCACACAATTGTTATAGTTCTCTTCTGCTGATACCACTTTTTGGTGAGTGTTTACATGAGAAACAAATATTTTTTAAAATTTATTTTAAAAATAAAAGAGAGAAAACATATTAACAAACAGACATCCATTTATAAAATAGCGTAAGAACAGTACAAGCAATACTGAATTACAGACAAAGTGGTGGGAAATTAACAATGGTTGTTGTATTACATATAGATATCTTCAAAGTGGTTTCTCAGGAAGACAAATAGAGACATGCAAGATTGATTAAATAAGTAATCATTAACTGTTCCTTTCAGTAAAGCAATAGAAGTCAGTAGTCCAACTATGTTAGCTATCCTGTATATACATACATACATAAATCTTTTCTCTTTTCCCTCATCCCAGTTGCTCTTTACTTTTGAGCATTTTCCTTTCAGAGGAACAAATATTTTTACATTTTTACCCATATGAAGAGGCCTATCCACATACCTCTTCCTCAGATATCTTTGTTAGTTATTTTCCAGTTATGTACCTTCCAAGTTCCTGACCATCCAGCCAGACCATTGGCTACACCCCATGAATCAGTATATAGTCTCACATCTGGCCATTTCTCCTTCCAGGCAAAAAGTACTACCAGGTGCACTGTCCAATGTTCTGCCCACTGTGAAGATTTTCTTTCACTGCTGTCCTTCAGGGATGTCCTGAGAAGGGGCTGTAATGCTCCAGCTGTCCACTTGCAGTTGGTGCTCGCATATTGTGCAGAATCATAAGCCAGGTCCTAGCCTTCTCTCCCTCTGACAGCTGATCATATTGTATGCCCTATGAGGCCAGAGGTGCATGCTGGAAAGTAGAAGTGAATATAGCTGGAATAGAAGCCCTGAGTATCTGGGCAACTTCTTCATGTAATTTACTCATACCCTCTGGACCTGCTCTGGCTTGATCACCTGTATACCTTTTCCATTTAATGATTAACTGTAACTGTTGCATGTCCAACCTTATGACTTGGTGGATCAGATAATACCCAGCTAATGATAGGCAGCTCAGGCCAAATGGTAATCTGGTGTCCCATGTCAAGCATTGAGTTTCCACTAAGACCCAGTAGCAGGTCAAGAGCTGTTCTCCAAAGGGAGAGTAGTTGTCTGCAGATTGTGGCAAGAGCCTTGCTCCAAAACCCCAAGGGTCTCCACTACAATTCACATGTGGGGGCCTGCTAGAGATTCCAAACAGCGTGTCTACCTGCACCTGTCTTTCTGACTGAATGCATGTTTCTATATTTTGAAACCTAATCTATAAATTATTTTTCAATGTAGCAATTATAGCTGTCTATTTCTTATATCTGATCTTTTACTTTTCCTGTGTTCTCAGATATATGTTTTTCTTTCAGAGGATGGGACAGTGAATTTAAAAGAGTTCATGGACAATTTGGTCAATTCACCACTTTCATCTGCTCCTAAAAGTAAGAATTTTTTTTGAATGAAGGTAGATAATGCTATGTAAGTTGTAGGTCTCTTGGGAAAACCCCACACAGGCTATTGAGACAATCTTAAGGTTATTTAATATTGTAATTTTGTGATACTTTTTACCATACATACCTAATGTGTAGCACAACTAAAAATAAATTATGGTCCTTAAAGATTATTAGTTATCTTTTCTAGTCTGGGGACCAGAGTCTTGATTACAATTGTATTTCACCAAGAACCTTATGAATGTAAAAATAATATTACTTAAAAATGAGTCAACAGTTAGAATTATGCTATTGCACGTACTTCAATTTTACTGAAGTATATTTTTATGAATCATTAGCATATGATAAATAGTAGTTCCTGATATTAATTTATAACTTTTCTTTACTAAAAAAGTTGGTGAAAACTTTTATAGTTAACTAGAATTTTTGTTTATATTTGGGTTTCTCTTCTTTTGTTATTTGAACTTTTAAAACTGTTGTATTGCCTTTAAAATATATTTCCAAATGCATGAATAGCTCAATAGGAACAAGGACAAATATACTAACAGGGCAATTTAAAGAATAATTACTCCTAGTTAAAATTTGGGTGAAGCATGCTAAACTCTGAACTCAGAATTTAAGGCCCTGGGTTCATCTCCAGTACACACACACACACACACACACACACACACACACACACACACACGATGAATCAAATGTTCAGTCTTACTACTTAATAAGGAAGGAAAAGGTATGTTTTTAAAAAATGTTCAATTATTTTACAGCTATGAAATTGTTAATGATTTGAGCATAATTCTTATCATGTAACAATGATATTGGGATTAAGTGCAGTGGTTAAGAGAATGGTCTCCAAAATCATGCAGACTAGATAAGAATTCCACTTGTTCAAGTTAAGTTTCACGACCTCGATCAAGTCGTTATCCTCACTGAGCGTTGATTTTCCCATCTGTAAGATGAGGAGTAACAATATGAGCTTAGGTTTCATTGGTTGTTTCTCTGTAGGCGTCCCTCTTCTTTGCAGTTTCTCCTTATAAACTAACTCAAAGTTTAATTGTAGCATGTCAGTTATAACATTAAGAATATTTTTATAGTGTTAAGGATGGCTTTTGCTTTGATATACATCATACTGCTGTAATATCAGTGTTTTCTGATGAGCTATCCTGTCTTGCACTTACAGTACTGAAAAGAAGAGAATGTTTTATATTTTGTACTTTTAGATAGGAAGGATAATTCTGACTTCAAGCTGAAATTGCCACTTCTTTTTTTATTAATTTCTTTTTTATTTAAAAGAGAAAAACAATTAAAATGATAGAGAATTTCAAAACAAAATGATAGGAAATTAACAATGGTTATTATATTGCGTATTGTTATCTTCAAATTTCTAATTCATATCATGCTATACATTTTGAAAGGTTCTCTAGGGTTGCAAAAGCTTAAGGTTCTTCTTTGAGCCATTTCTCCCCGCTGTTTGATAGGCATCCCATGTAAAGTGCTGACAAATCAAAATTATTTATGGAGAGTTATTTTTGTAGAAATCGCTTCTTTGGAAGCACTCCTGAATACTGTAACATGCTTCATCTGTTTTTGATGAAACATTAACAACAACCATATGAAAAGTGTTACCATATGTTCTGAAGATGCTGTCCATTGTGTTATGTAGTGGTAAATATGAGAAATAACTTTTAAAATTTAACATCAGGAAAAGTTTCTCTCCTCAAAACCCCATGTGCTTCTTTGTACAGATAATTACCCAAATTCCCTTTTATGCCTTAGCAACTGGAATGTCAGAACTGTATTTAATATTTAGCCACTGTTTCTTCTGTTGGCTTTGTTTTTTTACTACCTTATGTTTTTAAAAATTATTTCCATTTTTATTTTGAATGTACTAAGTTTTCACTGAGTAATTTGTTATTTCATCTCATAAATGTTGATATGCTTTGTTTTCACTGTGATTTAGTTTGAGACATAACCTGTTTTTCCCCCCAGTAAATTCTTTGATTTATAGACCATTTGGAAGTTTGTCATTTGATTTCTAAATATTTGGGCTTTGTAAAGTTATTTTATTGTTACTTGTAATTTAATTCCAATGTGGTCAGAGAACATATTGTTGCATAATTTCAGTATTTTCCAACTTACTGGTACTTGTGTTATTGCCCCACATATTTTTTTAGTGAATGTACTGTATGTTTGAAAACAATGTGTATTTTACAAAGACTGTAGCATTTTAGAAATATGAAGTAAAGTAAGGTGACTGTTTTCTCAGTCTCTATTTGTACTGCATTTTTAAGTCATTCTGTCAACTGCTGAGAGAGACGTACTAAAATTTCCAATTGTGATTATTGTATTTTCCATTTTCCCTTAAATTTTGTGAATTTTGTTCAGTGTAGTTTTAGGCTTTCTTATTTAGTGCATATACTTTATAATTGTTATGACTTCCTGATGAACTGGCTGGCAGAGAACACTGCATTTATCCTTTTGGGGAAAAATCACTTTCTCAGAGTGCAATCTGAAAATTGACTCCACATTTTATAACTACATGATACCTTACGTACCAAATGTTAAATATCACCTCCTACCTATTCTAATGCTAGTAACAACTCATGTTCAATGTATATGGCCTCCACTTGGTCAAAAGTTCTTATTGTTTATAGTTATATCCCCTGAAAAATGACCAAGGGAGCATGCTTCTATTTCTTTTTTATCCTAATTTTTGGTACATTTCAGATATAATGTAAATAATAGTGTGATATAATGATCACATTCATCATAGGAGATCTGTACCTGTACATGATATGTCTTGCTTCTTTTTTTTCCCCATTTCCCCTCCCTTTAACCCCTCTTCCCCTCATTATTACAAAAGCTTTGTTTCCGTTTTTTCCTTTTCTCATTTTTTCTTTTCCCTTCCTTACTTTATCCCCTTCCCATTTGAACATTTATTCCTACTTCACAATATCTGTTATACATTTTGGTCCTTAATTACACTTTTGATTTCTCACACCAGAGAAGCAGTGCAATATTTACACACGTGTGCCCTGTTTATTTTACTTAAGAGTATGGTCTCGTGGTGCATCCATTTACCTAGAGTTATTTCCAAGTTTATCCTTTTTCATGGCTAAGTACTCTGTTGTATAAAAGATACACATCTTCTTTATCCATTCATTGGTTAATGGGTATTTGGGCATTCTATTTCTGACAGAATAACTTTGCATGCATCTGAATACATGGCATAAATCTCACTGAAATTGAATATAATAACAAAGATACAGCTGGTATATTTCATAATTGAAATTCATTAGTATTTACTGTTCTCATAGTTTTTATCATTTTCATCTTTCTCTTAGGTGATAAAGTTGAGGACCACAACCTAGATATTTTTCTAGGAAACATGAGGATGGAGATGTCAGGTAAAGAATTTTGTGAAATTCTGAAACTATCCATCAATTGAAGGTAACATATGCATAGGCATGGCATACATCTTCTGTAGTCTGCGGTCTTTTTAAAATGACAATATTTCGATATGAAAATCATATAGAAAGAGCCATAGAAATAATTTAAAAGTAATAAAAATTATTTTAAATGCTCTCCTTAAGAATAAATTTTATGGTTTTTGAAAGTTTAATTTGGGGAATACAGGAGAAATAAGGATATATATTCACTATTTCAGCCCTTTACAAGTAAGCATATATTTATAGAAAGACTTTGGTAGTTCTTATCTCTGTTACTGATTCAGTACACTCAGTATGTTCTATGTGTCAGACACTGAGAATATAGGATTTTATAAAACATCATTTTGATTCTCCAGAAGATTGTAATCTAGTAGGAAAGCAGAATGACCATGCTATACCCCTAACAGTTGACTAGAAATAGAAGTGATTTCCCAAGGTGCAGAGGAAATGAAAAAACACCAGAAAATGCTTCAGCAGGTTTGATTTTGTGCTGCGACCACCGTTACATTTATCCAGTCAAATATATCAAGAAGGAATTGACACACAACCTCCTGCTGGCTGGAAGTTCAGGGAGGGCAGCTGGCCAAGAGTCTCTAGTGGGGTGCACCAGCCCAGAAAAATGAGACCTAGCCCGGAAGGAAGGAAGGAAGGAAGGAAGGAAGGAAGGAAGGAAGGAAGGAAGGAAGGAAGGAAGGAAGGGAGGGAGGGAGGGAGGGAGGGAGGAAGGAAGGACATAGCTCAGCCAAGGTGGGAGAGATGGTCATCTAATATCTAAGCCTAATAATTTAATAGTACAATTGATATACCAACAGCAGGGTATAAACTTCTACTTGCCAACAGGAGGAAGTGCTCAGTTGTGTGACAAGAAGATATAGAGGCAAAAACAAAACAAGAAAAAAAGAGTAGGATCTAGATTCCTTGGATTCACTAATACTGAAAATTGCCACCATATGAATTTGAATACCAAACTGAAGGAGATCTGTGAGGCTTTAGTGCCAGCAGCAGTCTGTTTAGATTCCGGTCTGCGCTCGTCGGAGCATCAGGTGCTGAGCGGTGACTGTCTTCGCTGGCACTTGATCCTGCAGTTGGCCTTCGCGGCTTCGCCTCTTGGCATGGCTGCCCATCTGCCTTTTGGATTTTGACTCTCTTCTCACTGACCTGTCCTCCTCTCACTGCATCATAGAAAACGTTTCGCCATTCTTTCATGCCATTCTGGGGATGTGGAGAGCTCGGAGACTGTCAAAGACCTTCCTTCTTAGACACCAGTGCATCCAGTTCTCTACTCCTTTCATGCCATGGTTTCTCAAAAACTTCTGTGCAGGGTCCTTGTAGGGTTCCTAATGGACTGTAAGACGGAAGTCTCACTTTTCTTGGTTTACGTACAAATATTAGAAGGGACAGCTCACTACAACTGATTACTTGAAAGTTTTACTTTTGATAGATAATAAGGAAAAAAGGTATATGCCTATTCTTCCTTACATTAGAGGGATAGACATGTCTTCTCTCCGTCATCTAAAATGGAACTCATATTGAGTTCTGAAAGAAACTGAAAAACTTGAATACTGATTTGTCGGTGTCTGTTATGCATTTCAGCAGTGTCTTGTTTTGCAATCAATTCATTATCTCCCAGAAAGGAGAATCTTCATTAATGATTCTTGAGAAGTTCTCCACTTCCATGTTTTACATTTATTAAGAATTAAATGAGGCCGTATTTTGGACCAGTATATAAACATCTCAAAATTACTATGCTTGACATTAATGATTTTGTAAGTTTCACAGTACATATGATTTACTTGCATGATCTAATTAGTCCCTTATTTTATAGCTGATAGTAAAGTGGAGAAGAATTGGACAAAAGATAGGAAGGCATCTATAGATGAGTGAAAGCTTGTTAATTCATTAATAATTCACTGAATAAGTAGGCAGTGCTAGACATTATGATAAGGGTTAGAAAGATGAATAAGTAAAATGAACTTTTTAAATTTATATACTATCTGTGGTAATATTCTTTTTATATATTTTTAAACAACATATTTTATTTAGCAAATAGCATATTTATTTTAAGATAGCCACTTTATTTCTTAGATACTAGTTTAATAGCTTTCCTTCCATTTACCAGATTTTTCATATGCTTATTTCTTATTACCCTTCATTTCTTTTGGCTGCATCTGATAAAATAATGATACTGTACTTTTGAAGTAATAAGCTATTTATTATTTTTTACATCTTGTGATTATTTTGGCAAGTTAGAAATAACAAAATTATAGGTGTTAATGAAACATATACCTTAAATAATTACTTTAACTTAATAAGTAAAGATGATAATGTTGGGAATTTAAGTAAAATAGAACAAACTGTTAAAGACTTTTTTCATTATAATTACTTAATTTAGTTTCTTCAGTGACATAATTAATTAATTAACCAATATATTGTACTTATTTTAATGAAGTAGAGAGTCACACTATAAAGGGCAATAAAGGACAGGAATGGTTTCCTTTATTTCACCCAACATGTAGGACGTATAACACATAGCCCACACTGTTATATGATTTGGTATTTTCCTTAATTTCACCATGCTTTATTTCCCAAGGAGGAAAGAGTGACATCAGTAATATGGATACTGTTCTGAAAAACACAGATATGAAACTTACAGAAGAACAACAGCAGAACCTAGAACGCTTACCAGCTACCGGTAAGGCTTTAAAATATCTCATCATGGTTGTTAATGCTGCTCAGTTAGTTTGGAGGTATTTCTGTGAGAGTTTCTGACACTAATTTGAATTATCTTGGTTAGCTCTTTTTAAAATTATTTTCATACATCACAAAAGTCTGGCTACTTATTTGATAGGCTGAGAGATAGTAAACTTAGATATTAGTAATGTCATAGATTTTTATAAATTGTCCTAATACCATCTTTTTTCTCACTCCCATCTTTCTTTTTTCCCTGTATTTCTGCCTGTCCTTCTCCTGCCTTTTTTTTTCTTTTCTGTTCTCTTCCTCTTACCTTCTTCCTCTACTTTTTCCTTATTCGTTCTTCAGTTGATAGATATTTAAGTTACTACCGTTTCATGGCTATTGTGGATAATTCTGCACTAACAGGAGTGCAGATATATCTTTAACAAACTAATTTCATTTCCTTTGGATATATACCCACTAGTTGAATTGTTGTACCATATGATAGTCATATTTTTAAGTTTTTGAAGAATTTCTATACTGTTTTCCACAGTAGCTCATCTAATTTACATTCTCATGAATAGCATACATGAGGCCCTAGGTTCAGTCCTCAGCACCACACACACACACACACACACACACACACACACACACACACCCAGCAGAGTAGAAAAAAAGCACTGATTTTCATGGACACATTTACTTTGAAAGAAACTTCAAGGAGCGTACCAAAGAAGTGTGAAAAATAACAAGTGAATTTAGCAAAGAAAAATGGTCGTTAGCCAATTATCACAAGCCACTGATGCGTAATTATGCAGAACTATTTCTGTGTTGGCTTCTTGTATTCTATTTAAATTTTACTTTTTGCAGTGATCAGGATGAACCCAGGGCTTTCAGTATTCCAGCCAAAGGCTCTACTTACTAAGCGACACCCCCATCCTGTCTGTCTTCTATTGGACAATTTTCCTTTTCTCTATGACAGTAAAGCACAGTATTTTCATACCTCTAAATTATTTCACAAATGAGAACTTTTTGTTATTTGGTTTTTATGTCCTTAAGGAAAAAATTGAGTTTTGTAACTGGCACAACTTCCTGGAATGATACAGGGATTGAGTTTACAAATAAGGAGCAGGAAAACCAAGTAATCATTTCCCACCCAGTGGATAGCATTTCAGTTATTTTGTTGCTTCTTTGAACAGGGCTTTTATTTTAAACTATATTTTATTAGTGTTTATTAATTTTACAAGATATTAGGTTTCAATGTGGTATTTTTATAAATACATATAACATATTTTGACCATATCCAACCCCATTGTTGTCACTTACAATCCCTTGACCCCAACTCTTATCCCTTCTTGCCCAGTAATAGTCCAAGCAGGGCTGTTAGACTCAACTATAGGAAATATTGATATTGTAGTACTCTATTTAACATCTATATTTGTTTTCCTGAGTAGCCACTTTGAAGGTATCAATATGTAATACAACAACGATTATTAATTTCCTATCATCTTGTCTGTAATTCAGTATTGCTTGCATTGTTCTTGTGCTCTTTCGTAAATGGATGTCTGTTTGTTAATAAAAAATTATCATATTTACTATATTTAATTACTATAAAAGTATAAGAAACAGCCAGTACTAATGGGAAGAATGTGTTTATGTGTGTGTATCATTTTCTGATTTTTAAAATATAGGCATTAAGATTTTAAATAAGTACAACATTGTTATGGGAAATATTTTGCCCTTAAATATCACTAAACTGAATATTTCAGAGACATCATTGAGGTCATTGCAAATATAAAATGAGAAACTTGGGTGAGGAAATGATGAGAAGAGAAAAATATGTCTAAAAATATGTTTAAAGCAGGGGTGTAGCTCAGAGGAATAAGCGCTTGCCTGGCAAGCCTGAGGTCATGAATTTGACTCCTGGTACCAAAAAGAAAAAACAAAGAAAAAACAAATACAGACATATATGTACAAGTACATAAATATATGCATATAATATGGAGATTATATATATATATATGTAT